CACACCGTCACTCGGACCCGAACCGAGACGAGACGGTGAAATTTATGCGGAGCCGCGTACGAATTTACGGCCGCCGGCCCGCGTGTTGCGCAACGCGTGAGAAAAGAACGCATGAAAACACGAGCGATCCGCGGGGAGAGAGAAAGAGAGAAAGGTGCGATTACGTAGCGCGTAAGCAAAGGATCGGAAGAAGAATTTCTCCTGTCTTGTCTCGGAGATTGGATTAGGTCATGACGATGATGCTGTTGTGCGACGCTTTCTCGTTTTTATAGAGATGACTCATCTCGATTTGACTTTCGGTCTTCTAGAACATGCGTCCTTGATGGAAAGGCGAAATTTGTCATCAATATCTTTCGATATTGAGAAATTTACTTGAATATTCGTTGAGTAAAAATTGTCCATGGAATTATTTCATATACAGAACTGACAATACTATGAAATATGAGAAACCACGTGCTGTTGCGTCAACGGCATTAAATGTGAATTTACGAGATTGTTAAAAGTATATTAGATGCCGTTGAAAAAGTTTCATCATCTCTTTCCGCATGCAAAATCGTATTTTAAATAGACGTTATTACATAGGAACGCCCCTTCACGCGTCTACCTCTTTTTACGATTTTTAATCCTCAGAATTTCGACATATACTTTTAAAATTAAAATAGAATGTTCTCCTAAATCAAGCGCTATCAAATTTAATCGAAACGCTCAGATATAAATTTAATGACAGAGAACCCAATGACCAATGTTTCAACAAACTCAAAATAAAGTGTTATGCAACAAAACATTGCTAATCGAAATTGTGCAAACGTGAATCGATTTTTCAGGTTCAAGATCTCGCACATGTTTTCTCACGCGAGTCGGTAAATTATTCAGAAAGTGGCGCAAGTGACGCAAAAATGCGCTTGGCGATCGGGGGAGCGCGGGGAGACAAACGCACGTTGAAAAATGCGGCGTTTCCGCGGGGCGGCAGCGAATGCTTCCTGTACAATCAGTCACGGCACCTCGTTGCTCGCGTAAGAGAGAAAGAAATTGCAGAGACATATCGACAAGAAAGAAAGATGAGAAAGAAGATGGAAATTATGCAAAGTAGAAAATTTTGTCCAACTTTGTCGTTACGAAAAAGCGCGACGGCGGTCTTCAATATTTTCAGATTTTAAACGTAAATTGAAAAAAAAAGAAATAGAAGAGATTAATGAACGTTAATAGATTATTAAGGGTACCAGTAGCGGAATATTTTCTATATACAAAAATTTCCTTATTAAAAATGGAAGAATATTCGTTCGATAATTACAAAGAAATAATAAAGGAAATAAAAAAATCATAAATATTTATAACAGATCGAGGATATAAATAATTGTCTGAGCGTCGCGGGTAGTGAACGAAGGATTTTGACTCCGAGCTCGATCGGGGAGGCCTATTAATTTCTCCTACAATATAAAATCCAACAACAATTCAGAATATGAGACAGTTACATTACTGTAGTCGCGACAGAGGAATAGGAATTTCGGAGCCAAATCGGCCCGGAGGTGTGTTAAAGGAACGTGCGTTGCGTCGGCGATCGCTTCGCGTTACAGATGAGGGCACACGGGAAGCGGAGAGAGAAAGAGAGCGATGAAGAGAGAGCGCGAGGAGTGTACGTACAGGAAGTGGTACAGCATTGCCGCAGGGAAGGACGCCGAATCTGGGCCACAATTACA